TCTCCTTCAGGGATATACAGTGCCCCATTGTAAAACAAAGCGCCATTTCTTTCCTCGAAACCCCTGGTTCCTCTCCATCACCCCTAAGACCTCTGAGCTTATTCTGGGCGTATTCATCATTCTCTGTTTCCTCTACCAGTTCTCTTTGTCCCACCAATGCCGCCCCACACACCCAGCGGTCTTCTGGAATGACATGTCTCTCTTCGGGTGCCCCTCCTCCAAATATTCAGGTTTGCGTGAGAGAGCGTCCGCCCTAATGTTCTCTGGGCCTGGCACGTAACTAATCTCAAAGTTAAATTTGGAGAACTCCTGGGCCCATCTCACTTGCCGTTGGTTGAGCACTCGTGCCGTCCTCCAATACTCTAGGTTCTTGTGGTCAGTGCACACTTGCACCTTATGTTGTGCGCCAATTAGCAGGTGCCTCCATCTCCGGAACGCCTCATGAATGGCTAGTAGTTCTCGGTCATACACCGTGTAGTTCCTCTCGGATTTGTTCAGCTTTCGCGAAAAAAGGCACACGGTCTCCACTCTGACCCCTTCTTGCCTGGCTGCAGAAGCACCGCCCCAATCGCTCTGTCTGATGCGTCAGTTTCCACTCTCATCGGTTTTTGTAAATCCACATGCAGGAGTTGTTGTTCCGAGGCGAAGGCCCTTTTAGTTCCTCAAATGCTCGCTCCGCCTCCTCAGTCCACACGAACTTCTTCTTACTGCTGAGACAGTCCGTAATGGGCGCCGTCAGGTGGGCAAAGTTTCGGATGAACTTACGATAGAAGTTCCCAAATCCTAGGAACCTCTGCACATCCTTCTTTGTTTTGGGTGTTTTCCATTCCAGCACCGCCTGGACCTTGCCGGGATCCATGGCCAATCCTTTGTCTGACAGGCGATACCCCAGGAATTCCACCTCCTTGGTATGAAACTGACACTTCTCCAGTTTCACCCACAGCAGGCTGGCTTGCAGCCTGCTCAACACTTCTCTGACGTCTCTCACATGCTGCTCCTCATTCTCAGAATACACCAACACGTCGTCTAAAAAGGCCACACAATTCTTGTAAAGCAAAGGCCCCAGGACGTGGTTCATAAACGATTGAAATGTTGCGGAGCCTGCTTGTAGGCCGAAGGGCATAACCAAATATTCAAATGCCCCTAAAGGGGTGAACATAGTGGTTTTCCATTCATCCCCCTTCCTTATTCGTACCAGGTTGTACGCCCCCCTTAGGTCCAGCTTTGTGAAAATCTTTCCCTTCCGCACCCTTGTCAAAATGTCGTCAATCCTGGGCATAGGGAAGGCTACTGGTTCTGACACTGCATTTAAGGCCCTGAAGTCACACACCAGCCTCGGCTTGTTCGTGTTTTTCTTATCCACAAAAACACTGGGCTGCCCCCCACCGCCCTGGACTCTCTGATGAACCCTCTCTTCAGGTTCTTGTCAATGAACTCTCTTAACTCCTGCATCTCTCTGTCTGACATGGCGTACAGCTTGCCTACAGGGAGCTGTGCTCCAGGGAGTAAGTTGATTTGACAGTCAAAGGGTCTATGCGGGGTAGTTGGTCAGCTTCCCTTTCGCTGAAGACGTCACGGAGATCTGCATATTGTCGTGGTACCTTCACGTTCTCTGTTACTTCAGTCCCTGCTAGGGTGGCTTGGACCCCTGCCAAACCCTTTCCTCTTTGCAGTGTTCTAAGCAATGTGCTGAACCAAAAGAAACCACTCTCTGATGCCAGCCCACCAGCGGATCATGTAACGCTAGCCAGCTCATCCCCAATATAATGGGAGCTCCTCCCAAGGTGGCCACATTAAAAGCTATCAGTTCGGTGTGCCTTGCTACCTTCATTATCATTGGGACGGTCTGCAAGCTGACTTCTCCACCCAACAGCTCCCTGCCATCGATAGTGGTCACCTGCAGGGGGCTGCTTAAAGGGATTGTCTGTATCTGGTGTTCAGCTGCAAACTCTTTGCTCATGAAATTGCAGGAGCTGCCTGAGTCCAACAGCGCCTTTATCTTTAGAGGGTGTCCGTTTGGCAGCTCTAGCGTCACTTCTATCACTAGGGCGGGTTTAGGAGGTTCTGGCGTGGGCACTCTCACTGCTCTTTGGCCTGGCTGCTGTGCCCTGACAGTGGCAGCCAGGCGTTGGCTTTTACTTGCTCCGGTATATTTTCCTCTCTTCCATCCACAGCTCCTACCATCCCTTGCCATTCTTTCCTCTGGGGGCAGACTCTGGCAAAGTGACCTGGCTGTTGGCAGAGATAGCATTTCCGGGCGCCTTTTCCTCCTTCTTTGCCCCCTCACTGGGCTTTGAAACCAGCGCGCGCGCGCTGTTCCGATTTCCATCGGCTCTGCCGGTGGGAAAGTTGGCTCTGGAATGTCTGGAATGCGGAACTCCTTCCAACGTTCCCCTTCCCTTCCCGCCTCTCCAATGCTCTCGCCTCCTGGCGCGCCTCCTATGGCCAGCGCTGATTTGGTCAGCTGGTCCATAGACTCCGCCCTGGGCGCCCGGGAAAGTTCGTCTTTCACAGCCGAAGAAAGCCCTTCTTCAAAGAGCATCTGAATGGGTTCCGCCGATAAGTCCCACCCCAATCTGTGAACAAGCATGGTGAACTCAGTCCAGTACTCACGGACAGATCGGCTCCCCGGTTTGCAACCCATTAACTGTCTGCGCACCACTCCCTTTTCAATATCGCTGGAAAACATCAGATCCATGGCGCGAAAGAACTTCATCGTGTCCTTTAAGACGTCACTATTAGCTGCCATCAGGGGTCTAACCCAGTCTCTCGCCCCTTTTCAAGATGCTCAATCACGAAAGCCACTCGTGATTCCTCGTCAGGGAATTCATCAAACTGCAGATTGAGGGCATATTGCATTTCTGTCCGAAAACCATGATAGTTTTTGGGCTCCCCCCCAAACTTCTGCACCAATCCTGGTACCTTTCTGGCAAACTGGGTGGCTTTCCCCTTTGTCTGCATCCTGAGCCCTCCTCTCCTCAAGCCTCGCCGTCTGCATCGCTAGCTGGACCTCCAACATCTGGTACCTTTCTTCCAGGCTTGGACCCGCTCCAGCTCCTGCTTCTCCGGTTCCGGCTGGGTTGCTCATGATGCCTTCTCCTGCACAAGCTGCTTTCAAAGACTGTCGGAATGCTGTGATGGGATGATGAGCTGCTTGTGCGTAAAATCGTATCCCCTCAGAGTTTGTTCAAGTCCACAAACCTCTGTCTGTGACGGAGCCCTCAGACATGGCTACTCTAGTCACTAGCAGATTCCGACAGTGGTTGCTTTCGTAATCGCTTCCAACATAAAAGCTCCTTAACGGAAACACGTCTTCTGGAATCTCTGCGTGACAGTTTCCGGCGAGGAGTGGGTGTTCTTACAGGAGGTCCTGAAACTTCCCCACTGTTTTCGCTGGAAGTGTCTCTGAGCCATCCCTCCAGCTCAGCTCCTCCCCCCTGCTGGTTCCCTCTTCAGCTGCTGCGTCTCTCCCAACCTGTGTGAGCCCTTTCACCTCCCTGTTGGTTCCCTCTTCAGCTGCTGCGTCTCTCCCAACCTGTGTGAGCCCTTTCACCTCCCTTCCGTCCGATGGCAGTTCCCTGACAATCCATATTTAAAGAACTATTTTTAAAAATCTTTTATATAAAAAATAAACCATTTTACCACTACAGGGCAAAAAAATAAATATTATAGATAGATGCCAATGAAACTAAAAGGCTGCAGGTACTTCAGCTGGTATCTGACGTGTTCTTCATTTTGTTTAAAGCTTTTGAATTTTCCTTGAATACCTTAATTTCATGTCCACGTAGGTGCACATGATCAGTTCCCTGCCCTGAAATTCCCAACTCTCCTTTGATGCAAGATACCAGGTTCCACTCACAAATACTTCTGCTAAACCTCTCTCCCTCCTTAAAGAGAGCCTCTAGTTTAACAATATTTAACTTCCTCATTAAATCGAATTTATTCATCTGATTTCTTGCTCTCACACACACACACCTTGGCATAAGCCAGGTATTCCATCTAGACTCATGAAATATAGAGCCTGATCTCGTTGGTTTACTCTTGCGTGCTCTTTTACATAGTTTAGTAAACACAACAGAAGATCTAAGGGTACAGAATATCTCTTGGAGAACTGTGGAAACCAGTTGGCAAAATGTTCCCCCTTTATTACACATCCCCAAAAGTGTGGGGGGGTGCAAAATCTCCTAGTGCCAGTACCTACTCCACTGTGTAATATTACCACGCAGGGTTATCCAATGAAATTTAATGGCAGGAAGTTCAGGGCATACAAAATAAAGGATTTCTTTACGCAATGCAAAAGCAAAGACGTGATGCCACGAAGACGTGATGATAACTGTTAGCTTAAATGGCTTTAAAAGTGGGGGGCAAGGCTAATTCACATAGGACAGGTCTATCCATGGCTATTAGCCATAGCAAAATTGTTATGTACTGAGCTGAATCCTAGAACAATAGGATTCAGAATGCAGCAGTCTGATTGGTCCACAGGAGCCACCCAATCCAGCTCCAGGTAGAAGTGAATCAGCAACCTGATTGGCCTGCTGGAGCAGCCAATCAGGCTTCTGGATGAAGTGAATCAGCAACCTGATTGGCCTGCAGGAGCAGCTTTGTGGGAGAGCTTCCCACAAATGGGGAGCCACTGCAGAAAAGGCCCTGTTCTCATGTTGCCACCCTCCGGACCTCTCACAGAGGAGGCACACGAAGGAGGGCCTCAGAAGATGATCTCAGGATATGGGTAGGTTCATGTGGAGAGAGGCGAAACTTGAGGTAAAATCTGCCACAGAGGCTTGAGACAACCTCAGGGATAGATTTTTGGGATGCACAGAAGCAGAGAGGAAGGGGAAGTCCCTGCTGTGTGAGTGAAATGCCACGATGGAAACAACCGTACATTCCTACTACAGAGGCAATTTGCTTTGTAACTCTTGTCTCTTATCAATCTACTACACTATGCCTTATCAATCTACTACACTATGATGCCTTCTTCCCCCTCAGCCAGCCCTTACCTTTAGATGTTCTGTCTTGCTTTCCTGACTAACTTCTACAAGCTTACGGCCCTTTTTCCCTTTCTTGACCACGCTACTCACGGATTTCACCGTTTTGATCGGTGGCATCTCCAGCTTTGGGGGCTCGCTAGGGAAAGTCCGGAAAGGGGACAAATGGTCGTAATGGGTGTGCAAGATGCGCACCGCCACATCGCAAATGGCCAGCGCCTTCGGGAGCTCAAACCCGTTCCACGGCTCCCTCTGGTCGTCGTAAAAGATCTGGCTGCGAAACCTGGTTGCGAAGAATGCAGACACAATTATGCACCACAAGAACGCTCTTACACACTGACCCATCTCAATATCTTTCCCCCATCTGTTTTGTAAATCTCCTATGAATACAAACATCGCATAGTTACAATTTGTTATTTTATATATGATACATTTATTTACATGCCAATTTATTTTCCGTTTTTTATACTTTTCATGAATATGTAAAGAAAAACTGAATTGTGTTTATTTAAACAAGACAAACATAACAGAAAAGAGAGCGTGGAATCTGAACGCCATGGATCTCATTAGAGGGAGGGGGAAAAGAAGAACAAAAACTTTCACATCTAAACAGTAACATGCTCTCTTTCTTTCGTTCATATATAATAATAATAATAATAATAATTTATTATTTATACCCCACCCATGTGGCTGGGTTTCCCCAACAAAATATTAAAATACAGTAATTCATCAAATATTAAAAGCTTCCCTAAACAGGGCTGCCTTCAGACGTCTTCTAAAAGTCAGGTAGTTGTTAATTTCCTTGACATCTGACGGGAGGGCGTTCCACAGGACGGGCGCCACTACCAAGAAGGCCCTCTGCCTGCTTCCCTGTAACTTGGCTTCTCGCAGTGAGGGAACCGCCAGAAGGCCCTCAGAGCCTGGACCTCAGTGTCCGGGCTGAACAATGGGGGTGGAGACGCTCCTTCAGGGATACTGGGCCAAGGCCGTTTAGGGCTTTAAAGGTCAGCACCAACACTTTGAATTGTGCCTGGAAACGTACTGGGAGCCAATGTAGGTCTTTCAAGACTGGTGTTATGTGGTCTCGGTGGCCACTCCCAGTTCCCAGTCTAGCTGCCACATTCTGGATTAGTTGTAGTTTCCAGGTCACCTTCAAAGGTAGCCCCACGTAGAGCGCATTGCAGTAGTCCAAGCGGGAGATAACTAGAGCATGCACCACTCTGGCACGACAGTCCGTGGGCAGGGAGGGTCTCAGCCTGTGTACCAGATGGAGCTTGTAGACAGCTGCCCTGGGCACAGAAATATGCTGAAATATGGCATTCAAATGAACACCCCAATGACTGGCACCCACCAGATTTATGGGGAAATTTGATGTATTAGTCTTCTGTACTGGGGGAGGCGGGGGGAACCAATTGTTTTGATAGTGTTATGTTCATGCGTATATCCTGTTTCTTGAAAATTAATAAAATTTTAAACAGAAAAAAAGAAACCTCTGCCGTTCCAATTCTCAGTGTAGCACTAATTCTCAGTGTAGCCCTTTGTGGCTTAGGGCCCTCGTATTTACGGGACCTCCTCTCCTGGTATGCCACGCAGAGGACTTTAAGGTCCATAAATAACCATAGTTTAGAGGTCCCAGGCCCTAAGGAAGCCAGATTATCCTCCACCAGGGCCTTCTCAGTGATGGCTCCGACCTGGTGGAATGCTCTGTCCCATGAGACCAGGGCCCTGCAGTATTGAACTTCCTTCCGTAGGGCCTGTAAGACAGAGCTATTCCGCCTGGCTTTCAATTTGAACTTAGCCTGATCTTTTATTTCCCTTCCTTCCCTCCTCCTCCCCTTTTTATGAAGTTACCCACTCTGGGATCCCACAGCTAATTCTCCCCTGGTCTCCTCGCTGGCCCAAATAGGACTAATTTAGCCAGCTAGCCATGGTGATCATCTAATGTTTATTGGATGGATTTTCCCCTAAATTGATTTTTGAATCCTGAATTTATTGTTATTCACGTTTTATACTGTATTTTATGCTGTTTTTTGTTGCATCAATTAAGTGTTTAAAATTTGTTGTTAGCTGCCCTGAGCCCGGTTATCTGAACCAGGAAGGGCGGGATATAAATAAAAATTTATTATTATAATTATTATTATTAGGAAGGGTGAATGAATGAATGATTAGTTAACAAGGGATGGATGAACGAATAGATAAATGCAAAAAGGTTGATGTAGTTTAAAAAAATGTTTTTAAAAGGTTAACAGCACACCTGAGGCATGGGAGATCGGCAAGACTGACAAAACAGCTGATCTAGAATTCCAACAGGCAGGCATGCACCCCTGTCATTGCAGATAAGGGACTCACCTAAGGAGAGTTCAGCAACAGGATTTTGTGCTTAGGAATCTTGCGGAATCTTTTCCTTGGAAAGCTTTCAAAGAAAGGCTGGGCCATTGAGAGATGCTTGAAACAGAGAGCATCCGGCCTTAACGAAAGAAGTGCTAATTCATGGTGCTAATTCCTAGGTAACCATCATCTAGCGACTCCACTTGATCAATATGTCAAATGTTACCTGACCAGGACATGGGACCAGACTGTATTATCATGGCTCCCAGGTGAAAAGGAAAGCTCTTCAACAAGCCCCCTCTCCTCTTCAAACGCTTACTTTGGAACTTTCTTGAGATTTGCCCAAATGCACAGTGTAACATTCTGCTCCTTAATGACAACTTCCATGTTCCCGCTTTCGGATTCTGCATAGCTGCTGGCTTCCTGCACGGAACATTGAAAAGGAGAGAATTAGGACTTGCTGCACAAATATAGGTCAGGATATTATTAGGCAAGATGTCAAACTGTTCTTATATGCAACAACAGTGGCAAGAGTATTGCTAGCCCAGAAATGGAAGCAAGAAGAAATTCCGACGAAAGAAGAATGGCAGACGAAATTAATGGACTATGCAGAACTGGATAAAATGACAGGAAGGATTTGAAACCTGCGGGACCAGAGATTTACAGAAGATTGGAAGAAGTATATGAACTATCTGAAGAGCAATTGTAATCAACAAATTACGTTAGTAGGACTACAAGAAGTTTTGTAAGGAGAAATATATGAAACGTTACAAAGTAGAAAAAGAATAGAGATATTAGTTACGAGATTTAAGTGTAATAGGGAAAGTAAGAAATGTATATTAAGTGATTAGACTGGAAAATTTTCAGATGTGATTGATGGAAGTAAAAAAAAATTGTATAAGATGTAAAAGTATGTTTAATTACTGTTGAAAATGATATGTTAAAAAACTTATATATATATATATATGTATATATATATATATATATATACCGTATTTTTTGCTCTATAAGACTCACTTTTTTCCTCCTAAAAAGTAAGGGGAAATGTGTGGGCATCTTATGGAGCGAATGCAGGTATCTCAGAAGCCAGAACAGCAAGAGGGATTGCTGCTTTCACTGCGCAGCAATCCCTCTTGCTGTTCTGGCTTCTGAGATTCAGAATATTTTTTTTGCTGTTTTCCTCCTCCAAAAACTAGGTGAGTCTTATGGCCTTGTGCATCTTATAGAGCGAAAAATACGGTGTGTGTATATATATATATATATATATATATATATATATATATATATATATGACTTGCTGCACAAATCAGTGATGCACACAGACCCTTCTCGAGAGCAAGTCGTATCGGAATGACCAATGGAAGCTGCCTCCAAGGAAAGAGAACCAGGAGTGGAAATATCTCAGTGCATTCTTACAGGAAGAAAAGCCATAAACTCTCCCACAATTCTAACTGGCATATTCTCAGGATCCTTGCAAACGATCCCACCCATTTTTCTTCCTGTCATTGTGGTGCAATGGGTCAGTGTGTCCGGATGTTAGCCAGAAAGTCGGTGGTTCGAGCCCTCCCAGGAACGGCTGTGGGCGCACAATTCCTGCATTGCAGAAACTCTACAGTCCTATGATTCTATAACACCAATTACTTTGGGGTACTTTCAACACATTAGGTGGAGCAAAACCAAGTTTGCAAACCAAGGTATAACTGGCAAGTAGCTGCAGCCAATCCGGTCTACAATATGTATTGCCGACATGATAATACATGTTTCTAAACCCTTGTGCCCATACACACATTACATTTTAGGTCCAATTCAAAGCAAACAAGCCATAATATGTGCATCAGCCCTCAAGACTCTAGCGCAGCAGTTCTCAACCTGTGGGTCCCCAGATGTTGTTGGACTGCAACTCCCATCGTCCCTGAGCTCTGGCCTTGCTAGCTAGGGTGATGGGAGTTGTAGTTCAACAACATCTGT